CTCAAGGGGAGTAGTGAGTTAACTTTATTTAAGAAGCATCCTCGCCACTCGGGAATATAATAACTGGCGACGAGGATTCACGAAAAGAACTTGCGCGAGCACAAGCAACAGGAGCCGCGTCGGTAGAGGTTACACGTGAAAGTGGGACGAGTTCATTATACCTGTACGAGTCCATTGTGAGAACACGTGTTTCAAAAGTTAAAGTGAGATAACGTGGGAAAATGCGCGATCCCGTAAAAGTTAGTAATCGATTGGAAAAGTTATAATTTTAAGTAATGTCCAGTAAACCACGTACGGGCTGGATTCAAAATCTTAATAAAGAACAGATTATCAACGAACTAAGAAAACGTGAAGTAAAGTTTCAAGAAAAAGATTCGTACGACAAACTAAGAGAGCTTCTTAGAGTTACGATCAAAGGTGAAACAAAAAAAGTGCTACATTCAGAAACGAAAAGTTCGAGCGACGAGGAGCAAGAGCAGTCGGACGAGTCCAATATTGAGCAGTCGGACGTGTCCATTATTGAGCAGTCGGTCGAGTCCAGTATTATAGCAGACGAGCAAGAAAACGACGAAATGGCGGACGTTAAAATGGAGTTTCATCTAGACAATGACTGGGAACTTTTTGAAGAGAAATTGTGCTGCTACTTTATCACAAAGAAAATAGAAGATGATAGAACGAAAGTGGCAACATTAGTAACGCGATTAAGCACGGAGGCTTACGCGCTTTTAAAACACCTAATAGCACCAGCAAAAGTTATTGATAAAACATATGCAGAAGTAGAAAAGGTTATGACCGACCACTTGAAGCCGAAGCCATCACAAGCAATGGAAAGGTGTACATTCAACAATGCCAAGCAGCAGCAAAACGAGACTGTCGCTGAGTTTACAGCAAGGTTGAAGAAATTAGCTCTAAATTGTGATTTCGATAAACTGGAGGAAGCGCTCAGAGATCAGCTGGTGTGCGGGCTAAGTGATCAAGACACGAAAGTAAAACTTTTCGAAGCGAAAAATTTAACCTTAGAAACAGCGGTGGATATTGCAGTGTCCAGAGAAGCAGCTATCAAAAGTGCAGCAGCAACTAGCAGCACGCTAGAGAAAAATAGGACGAAAAATGAAGTTTATTTAATTTCAAACGGATCACCACAGAAGTGGCAGCAGCGAAAAGGAGGCAAATATGGGAAAACGAACGGCGGAGATCGGAAGCAACACCAACAACTACATCTACAGCAACAGCCGAAGCAGAGGTCGGGCGACACATCGAACCAGCAGGCACTAGTGTGTTATTGTTGTGGTAAGCCGAACCACATAAGCCGCGAGTGTCGCTACCGCGATTACGTGTGCCGAAATTGTAACGTGAAAGGTCACTTGGCTAAAGCATGCAGAAGTAAAAATAGTGTACCTGCAAACCGTGATAGTGTCAAGAAAATTTCGTCAACGAATGAGTCTGATGGTATAGAGGCGCACGAAAGTAATTTTTTTAAAATTAAGCAAAGTTTTGTAAGTAGCGCTAGTAGAAATAAAATCGAACGCACGGTGAATTATAGTCATGCAAGCGTTGATAAGTCGGGTATTATTCCAATGTTTGTAAACATAAATGTAAATGGTAAAGATATTGATTTCGAAGTAGACACGGGTACTTTTGCTACAGTTATTTCAGAAGAAATTTACAATGGATATTTTAATAACATTAAAATCTCTAAAACAGATAAAGATTTAAGAGCTTACGGTGGTCAGCCATTAGTACCGATAGGAGAGCTGATTAACCTAACAGCTGTTTATAGAAATAAGAAAAGAGTCGTAAAGTGTTTTGTTTTGCCAGGTGCAGGTCCAGCATTAATGGGACGAGAGTGGCTCATGCAATTCGGAGCATGGCCATTGACTATTCCAGAGTCGAATCCGCTTGATGTAAACAAACTAGACACCGACTTGCATGACTATATAACGAAAAGTTATGAAATTCTGTTTGACGATTCACCGGGCATGTATAATAAGAGTACTACAAAAATTCATTTAAGAGAAAACACGAAACCTGTTGCGCTGAAGTGCAGACACGTCGCGCATGCGTTGAAGCCGATGGTAGAGAAAGAAATAAATAGACTTGTGAAGTTAGGACATTTGAAGCCGGTAGACGTCGCGGAATGGGCTACGCCTATTGTGCCGGTACTGAAGGGCAACGGGGATATCCGCATTTGCGGAGATTTCAAATTGACGCTCAACCCAAGTATCGTTGTTGATAAATATCCACTCCACACGATAGATGATATTTTTACCATACTTCAAGGGGGTGTGTTTTTCTCGGAATTAGACTTGAAACATGCGTATATGCAGTTTCCAGTAGATAGAAAAAGTTCGGAATTATTGACTATTGTTACGCATATGGGTTTATTTAGATATACGAAGATTCCCGAAGGTGTTTCGCCAGCGCCAGCCGACGTGCAGCGCAAGATGGATGAATGTTTGCGCGGAATTGAAGGTGTTATTGCGTTCCTAGACAATATATATATAACGGGAAAGACAGAAGGTGAACATCGCGAAAATTTGAGAAAAGTATGTGAGAGATTAGTTGAATGTAATTTGCGATTAAATTTGAAAAAGTGTAAATTTATGGAAGCCAGAATTGAAGTCTTAGGATTTGTTATCGATAAACACGGCTTGCATAAATCGAGATCAAAGATTAATGCAATGATAGATGCACCACATCCTAGTAATGCAAAAGAACTAGCGTCATTCCTGGGGCTTGTAAACTTCTACGCACGATTTTTAAATAACCGTTCCAGGAATTTGAAACCTTTATATGATTTATTGAACGGAAATATTCCGAGTTGGAACGATTCGTGCGAGGAAGCTTTCAAGTGGGTTAAAAACGAGTTGATCGCGCCGAATTTTTTAGCGCATTATGATCCGAAAGAACAGATTGTACTTGCGTGTGACGCATCCGATTATGGGTTATCTGCAATTTTATCGCACCGGTATGGAGACGGTACAGAAAGACCAATAGCTTATGCATCCAAAAAGATACCCGCGACCGAAATAAAACGCGCGATTATAGATAAAGAAGCAATGGCAATTGTTTTTGGGTTTAAGCGGTTTTACCAATTTGTTTTTGGAAAAGAGGTTACCCTGCGTACGGATAATAAACCTTTAGAATTAATTTTTGGCCCAAGAAAGGGTATACCGCAAACGGCAGATAATAGGCTGCAGCGCTATGCTTATTTTCTCTCCGGATTCAGATATCGAATAGAACATGTGAAATCCGAGAGAAATGCGAATGCGGATGCATTGTCGCGGCTACCAGTGGAGGACACCACGGATATTTCGGAAATGTATGATCCGACACCGTCGTTCATTAATTTTTTT